GCTATTTAAAGAGTGCGATGAAGTCCATTCGCCTGTTTTTATTAGTTCCCCTCCCCCTCCTTTTAACTGGTCCTTTAAATTACTTCTATTTCATAATACTGTACTGCTCCTGGAGCTTGAAGAAGGTCCCATCCTTCATGACCTCCCTTTATCCACGGTTTGACGTAAAACACGCCCATGCCAACTGCGTTTTTTGTCTTTTTGCTCCCCTGTGTATGTGTACTGCGCGTATGTACACACGTGTGGAGCATTGTTTTTCGCCACCTTTTTTAAATTTTATTTTTCTACCTTGTATGTTTCTCCCGCGTGTGTTGCTCTTGTACTCTGTATCATAGTCCCGCCCTGCCCTGCCCCCAACCCTCTACCTGTATGCCAGTTTGTGATTATTTTGCACCAAACTCTTGCGCATGTGCTGTGCACGTAAAGACTGGCTGTTGATCTTACCTTGGGGGTTTTGACGAAATATGCTGTCGTGCTCGGAGGCAACGTTGATTGCCCAAGGAGGGCCTTGACATCCGTCTGCTTGCAGGTAGATCTTTGTTTTTTACACTCTTCGAACAACCCCATTCCTTCGGAATGGTGGCTTGTAGGCACTAAGTCACCCAGGGCACAATTACGAAATGATGTGGACTCCCCCTGCTCGATCGTTGAATTTCTGACTTCATTACAGTGGAACCTCGGTTGCCGAATTTAATCCGTTACGGCACCGAGCTCAACTTGCTATACGTAGCCAATGGAGCTCCATCAGTTTGCTGATTGGCTGCAAGCGACCGAGGATGCACGCACTGAGAACCAGACGCAGACACACTGACGGCTCGTTAACTGAGTGAAAGCTCGTCAATCGAAAGAACTTTTCTGTGAGTATCTCGCTCTTACCAGAAATGCTCGTGGGTGCGGCTGCTCGTCACCAGGCACTCCGTTGTTTTCTTTACAAGAATATCTCAAAATCTGAGTTTGTGGACTGTAGCTGCCTTCGCGTTCACTGATTGCTCCAAATTCAAGTAGTATAACCGAACCAAGGCCCAGTCGCCCTAAAGGATTTGTCTTTTTGGTTGAGGCGGCTGTGGTTACTTCCACTGGTCGGGACTCGCATGATTGTGGCTGGCTTAGTTGAGGTTCCGACGGGTACATGCCATGCGTTCGACTGTAAAACGCCAAAAATCATGTCCTAGCCAT